TTGGTTTTACAAATTCTAGAAACTATGAAACCAACTTATATCCATAAAGAGATTGTAACGATGAACACGAGATTAGATCTGAACTACACACTTACTTTGATCTCTACTATTTTATTTGATGTTGGTCGTTCTTAGTATAGAAGTTAATCATGCATCGGTGTTTTTTTTTGTTATAAAGAAACAACGCAACAAAAATCCTTATCATCACAGCTTATCAAGTTTAATCAAGCAATTAAGTTGGGGAACAGTGATTTTTGTGTCACCGCTGTAAGACGCTTCGCAGCCGGCGTTCTCATCAATCAAGCTCGCTCCCCAAACTTCGCCAATAACAATGACGAGCAGACGAGAAGACGCGCCCAGAGAATTTAAGTACAAAATGAGTGTTTCCATGGTGCTGATTATTTCAGAGATGTTCACGGATAATGTATATACATATATATATTTAAATATGTATTTACTAGCTTTCGTCTGTGTGGGATTAGGAAAAAAAAGTGCGTAGCCAATGTGTTCTAACATGTAACAAACATCTATCCATCCATCTAAACTTTCAGATTTATAATATTAGTTTGATTTGTATTCTTTTTGTAATAATAAATAGAAATTAAAGCAATAATTTTATAAGCGTCATTAAAATATGTTTCGATTGATTTTAAATGTGTTCATTGGTAGTTAGAATAAAAGCTTTATTTCATAAAACCAAAACTTATTATTGTCATTACGTTTGAAATCTTGTGTGGTTTTACTTTTAACATTTATCCTAAATTTTACGTATAATACAAACTGAAAATAACTTTATAAACATAGTAATCAGATGAACGAGGCCCAATGTGGGTGTTACAATTGACGTTGTGGTTAAAGTTTCTTACTTTACATACAAGTAAGTGTTCCATTTACTTGATAATTCAGTAAAATAATGCCGATAATTTATCTTAACTTCATCTTAACTTTCGTATTTATAGTATTGTATGACAAAGAGGAAAGTATTAAAATAACCCAAAAACTACTAGACCGATTTCGAATTTTTTTTCACCATTATAAAGATACGTCACTACATAATAATATAGACCATACATTTAACTTTTCTTATTCCACGTGGACAAAGTCGCGAGCAACAACCAGTTTAAAATATAATCATTTTTCTTTACAGAAGCTTATACAGTGCTGGCAAAATGAGTTTTTAAACTTTTGTAGTTTGCGTCCGCAATGAAATGACTTTACGTTTTCTTTTGAAGGACATCGCTTTCTGTGTAAATATTTTTTAATAAGACGCTTACAATGTTTTAGCTCATCTTAGGAAATTTGTTTTATCACACAGAAATGAGATATTAAATAAATTTAAACTACAGTCGGAGAGTTTTTAGAAGCGAACTTTTTGTTAAATTGAAACAATTTCATCGCTATTTGCCTTTATAACCCTGCGGTTCGTTGCTCAAATATAACTAAAACATATTGTTAATCTATTTTTTGTGGAGTAAAATTTGATAAAACTTTAGAAACCCACGGTTATAAGACATTTATAACGATTCTAATTATTAATTCACTATATTATCTTGAAAACTCACTTCTTCTTCTTCTTGCTAATATTTTTTTTTATAATATAAAGTGGCAAACGAGAAAACAGCCACCTGAATCTACCGAAATGAAAAGCGAACGCTGCCCATAAACATCCGCAAATGCAGATGCGTTGCCTTCCCTTAATTAACGGAGGAGGAGACGCACATAAAGAGGACATTTTCCCTTCCTATTCGTCTCCTCCATCGTCAAATCCACTTTTCCTTCCCATCCTTTCCTCTTAACAAAAGGGTGGAAAGTGGAAGGTATTAAAATTAGGCCTCCGGCACCACACTCATCAGACGAAACGCGGAATTGCTTCCACTTCACGCATGTTTTCTGTGTGGTCGTGGTATTACACCGGGTGACCCGGCCCTGCAGTGCGAAGATGTTAAAGCGGGTTCTACCTCTACAGAATTATTATAAATACCAAAGTTTAGATGGAAGAACGGATGGGTGTTTGTTAGAGTTTGTAGCCTAAACTGCTGAACAGATGTCGATGAAATTTAATATCAACGTAGAGGATAGTCTCGAAGAACACATAGACTACCTCTTTTTTTTATTCCACGCGGTCGATGATGCGGGCGAAAGCTAGTAGGTGACAAATATTCGTGGATAATAAAAATGACATTTTTCGATTCTCTTTATAACTTATCAGAATTATATTACTGATTGAAACGTAGTATCGTTAATAAATCACTAGTTCAATTTGCGTGTTCTCAATGAAATCGCTTGACTATTTCAGCATTTCCCTGAGGGAGCTTCGTTAAGACGTGAAAAACAGAAAGTATATCAAATTTAACGATTCAAGAACCATTTTGCAAACTTAATTATTTTGATAATAGCAAGTAAAGTTTGAAAAATCATGACCGCATAAACTGGTATTTGGGGGGGGGGTGATTTTTGCGGGTTTTTTTTTGCTTCCGTACGCGGCTCTGTCTGCTTTATTTTTTTTTAAATAAACTAGAACAAGTACTTTTTGTGTTCTTCCAGACTACTCTACGGCTAAGTTAAATTTCACGGAGAGCTGTTCAGCTGTTTAAGCTACAAACTCTAACAAACATCCATCCATACATCTAAACTTTCGCATTTATAATATTGATTAAGAAATAAATCGCTTATTTTAAACAGACGAAACAGATTCAGTTATCAACATTATAACCAGTAATATCTTCAGACTTTTTTTAATATCGCTGACCAGTCTCTTTAAAGGGAAATTTCTTTTAGTCGAGAACAAATTAAATCCAATAAAGTTCCTTAATGGTACCGATTCGTTTTGTGCCCTTTTACACGAATTTAAGACACGAAGCGCGAATTAATCAGTTATTACTTAATTGCATTTTACTATATTTTTTTTTATTAATCATCATCTTCCTTATCCTTATCCAGTGGTAGTGCCCGCTTTAACATCTTAGCACAAATGGGCCGGCACGCCCGGTGTAATACTACGACCACACAGAAGACAGGCGTGAAATGGAAGCAATTCCGTGTTTCGTCTGATGAGTGTGGTGCCGGAGGCCTAATTTAAATCCCTTTCTCTGTACCACCCTTTTCATATAAGGAGATGATGGGAAGGGGAAGTGGATTTGACAGGGGAGGAAATACATAGGAAGGGGAAATATCCTCCTTATGTGCATCTCCTCCTAATAGTAAGGTGATGTAAATGTGATAAATTACATCTATGTGTATAAAAGAAAGTCAAGTTAGTTACATTATTTATAACTAAAGAACAACTTTACCGATATGGCTAAAACTGGCGAGCTTAGAGCCAGGAGACTGACGACATAGGATATGATTTATTCCGTTTATGAATGAATTTTTCTAACACTCGATAAAATTTGGCCACAGATGTGGAGTCTGGAAGAACACATAGGATGTTTACTTTTTTTTTAATTCCACGCGAACGGAATCGCGGGTGAAAGCTAGTATTAAATAAAAAGCCTTTGTTACTTTAGCATCTTCTATTTTAATAAACTAACAAAGATTTTTCATAACATTAAATCAGAAACCATAGTTTTGTTTTCTATACAATAGTTGTAACAAGAATATAGAGCAAATCGCAGAGTGGTCATAAATTCGAAGACTTTCGCCGGTCACTCGAACCCAAGGGGATACCATTCGCAGTTTGTCTTGTCTACGTAGATTGGATGTAACATTCTAATTTCTGTGCTTCACTACACTCTAATACCCTTGGGTTTTAAACGTGGCTCAATAGATCAGCAAGTTACAAGCATGACAGACAGTAGAGAGAAGAATAGAGTTACTACATCTAAAACAGAAATTATAACTGACTAATACACTAATCTTAACAATTTTATTTTTATAAATCTGTTATCATAGATATCCAAAATAGACATGTATGTTTCATTAATTTTAATACTGCTTTTTTTATATAAAGCCATATACAGTGAAAATCTTTTCACACAAGTAGCATGTGTAAACATAATATCTCATTTCCATTGAATTCTAATACTTATTAATGACTAGCTGGTTCATTCGACTTCTACAGCGCGAAATTATATATATGGCCTATGTTACTCACTGATATTGTAGCTTACTGATCAAAGAATAATTACAATCGGCCCAGAAGTTTTTGAGTTATTTCTATACATACAAAAATATAAACCTATCCAATAATAATATTAGTATAGATTTATTTTGCGGTCTTCAAGTATTATTAACCCTACATTAGAGATTATAATTATAAAACTAACCATTATCAGTCGTTACTCATAAATAAAACAAACGTTATTGTAGAAATGTATAGGAATAATGAAGAATCGTTAGATTTTGATGCACCTCACGTTCCGAACTAACTTTATCAACTTGCAGATGCGCCGTGTGCCAAGAATTCAATGCGTTTGTCGCTGTGAATACGTCTTGACTTCACAAGTTACCTAGTCAAGGATAATTTAAAACAATGTCAATAGTAATTCAGATAGAACTAAACTAGGCATAAGAAGTTAAACAGAATAATTGTTTCCAGTATTTTTAAGGGTTTATTGCGACTGATTTGTCTCTGTTTGCCTTGAGGAGGCATTTACAGCTTAGGTAGCTACACCTCGTTTTTGAGTAACTTAGCTCGAAGGCTCCCTCAGGAGCCTCGGCTCGGGCCGTTACTTCATTATTATTACCAGATAGGAAGGCGGCCGAGCTGTATTGTTTGCAATACAAAATTTTATTTTTTAAATAGCTTGTAAGCTTACTGTAACTTTTGACTTCTATTGAAAAGTAATATCTCTCTCAATCTTATGAAAGCTCAGAGAAAACGATGTGTTTCCCAAAGTTTCTACCGTGGCAACTGTTAAAAATAATCATTCAGATTCTTTGTTCTATACTCCATGTAGATACTACACTAGGTACAGACTAATCTCTTTTTTTACTCAATTTAACTGAATCAATTGTTTCCTTTTTTTATAGTTTCAAAGATTAAATTTGTATGTTTTCAGTAAAACGACAGCAAGGCATGTGGGGCGGCGGCGCGCAGTGCGTGCACGCGACGCTGCCACGCGGCGCCCGCACACCCGCACCAGCGCCCACGCTCAGCGGCGCCATAGCCAGCCGTCGCCCGCCCAGGTAAACACTTTTTAACTAAAACATTTAGCGAATGTTGCATAATAAGGAAAATTAATATCTTAGAAATATTTAAGGAAATGCTAGAGTTACTTTCGTATATTAATCTACAGTTAAGTAAAAACTTTAAGTAAGTTAAAGCATGTATTATTAGATTTTTGTTACACATTTTATTCGATTGATTGGTTGCTTTTACCTTTAACGTAAAAATATCCATAAATTATACATATTTATGGGAAAGATGTTTGTTAAGATTTACTTGCATTTACATTTGATTTCTACGTGTATGTTTATAATTTTTATTTTCCTAATTTCAGGCCAACGCCGCCTTCTCCAACTTTAGTCGCCAAGATCGACTCGTCAGTGGCGTGTCTTTGGCTTCTAACACCTTTGTCAGCGGGAACCGCGGTGGTCGCCGTATTAGTGGCAGTGTCCACCAATAACTGGCTACACACACAAGAAAATATGCTCAATCCTCTATACAACGGCACTGGGAAACACGCTCTTGTCGCTAAACACACCGTATCAGGACTCTGGCGAATATGTCATACCGAACGTAAGTACATCAGTACTGTATAAGTTTTTTAACAACAGTTAAAATATATATATAAACAACAATGGCTTGTGTTATACTCGCTGTATAAACGAGTACGCAGTTCTAAACTACTGCTCTTAATTCTGTATTTGGCCATTTGCAGCGCCTCTGGCGAAATCGCGTGCCCCCACAAAGTTTTGGTATCATTACTAGTATGTCCAGTATAAATTACAATTATAAATACACAATATCCGTTTTAAATATGCCCACACAATAGTAATTTATACGTTTATAAGTTAAATACATTATAGTGGTGAATAGAGGACGAAAGTTGGTAGTGTGACGCGGTCCTACAATGCGTCGTCGTTTCCGTCATTCGAGACAGGAAATGCATTGTGCTGCGCGTCGCACAGTCGCACCGGCCGCGCCGGCCCACTTTTCACTTTACAAAGTCCGTAGCCGTAGTCATTGTCGGTATATTGGTGCTATTCTATTTACGTTAAAAGTTATTACTTGTAGCCATTCTTAGTGATATTATTAATGCGAAAGTGTAGATGGATGGATGTATGTTTGTAGTCTAAACTGCTGAATGGATTTCAATTAAATTTGACATAGATGTAGTAGAAAGTTGGCAAAAAAAATACGGTTACACTGATACATTTTTGTAAATAAAATTTAAAAAGAAACCTATATTTACGTATGAAATTTTACATTTCAGCGGGCAGTACGGTGTACGAATGTCTGGACATACCTTATTTTCCTTTGTCCCAGTACGCACCGGACCCTAGTGATTCTACAAATGCAATACCATGTAAGATTTATTTCTTTTTAACTTTTGGTTTAATAATAAAAATAACCCGAATATTAAAACATTACAGTAATCGTCAATGCCTTATAAAATTTGTTATATCATTAATTTACATTTAGTTTGTTTATCGAAAATCAAAGAGCTATTGTTTAAATTTTCAGATGTGGTAACGCGTTCCGCAGCTCCACTTCTTTTGGCTGTGTTCGCGCAAGCAGTAGGAGCCCTGTGCTGTGTCCTAGGTCACTGCGTCAAGGGACGAAGGCTATGCACATTTATAGCGGGCGTAATGTTTATAATATCCGGTAAGTGGTACATAATCTATATCTATACTATTAATAAAAAGAGAAAATATTAACATTTTTGTATGTATTGAAGTAACTCAAAAACCGCTGGGCTTATTTTAAACATTCTTTCACCGTTACAAAGGTAATAATATATCAGTGAGTAACAAAAGTTATTTTTAATTTTTTTAATTTCTCTTGGATGAAGTCGCGAGCAATAGCTAGAGTAAGATAAAAAGATAAATAGTGGAAAAATAATGTAACAGACATAATCTATCCTAAGGTTTTATTTCTTTTTTCAGGTTTGATTATGCTGACTGGTATTGTCATGTACATATCAGTATTCAAATCACAAGTTGGCCACAAGCTGCGATACATGACAGTTTTCGATACACCGCGAATGTCCTATAGCTACGGTTATTCTTTTGGATTATACTTGAGTGGATTCGTGGCAGCCGAACTGGCAGGCACGTCGGCAATTTTCCTTTTCCTGCAATGGTATCAAAAAGATTGGATAACAGAACTGTGCGAAAAAGCAAAAGCAGATTGCAGAGCTTGGGATCGTGAATACACTTTTTCCGAATGCAGAGATAGAGATTCGTCGCTTCTTGAAAGACGAATGATGAAAAGGGACACATACCCGCCGACGGGATCGTCTGCGGCGACTCCTCACGAACGAAGGCGTTTCGTTTTCGACGGTGACGAAATGCCACACTGTTCTATACATAAAAATAGAAGAATTAATTTAAGCTCAGCATCACTGAAAGATTTGTCATCCTCGACTTTATACGGCTTCCCAGCTGCACCGAGGCCGACGGCTTGTGACAATTATTT